ATCTTGCGCATGATGAGTACAATTGAAAACGATATGATCGAGATCGGTTATATTTCCACACTCACAAAGACTATCTGAGCTTAATCCAAAGCGATGAAGGTAGCTCTTGAAAGGGCCATGTCCTGTAGCAAACCAGGTACGTGAGGAAGAGATTGAATGTAATTTTGATGAGACTTTAGGAATAAATTTATATGTTCTTCGACCAGTTGTACCAGAAATCCAGTCTTGTTGCCACTTTGTCAAAAGAATTTTCCATGTAAATTTTTTAACATAAGAAGATGGAAGAGGATAAACATAGATAGGACGTTCTACTGCTTGAGCTGCCGCTTTGGCTTGTTGATCCGCTAGTTCATTACCTAAGATACCGTGATGTGCTTTGACCCAGACGAGGTTCGGACGTTGGGAAGCAGGAAGGCGTAGTAAAAGTTGTTGTATTTCTTTGAAGTAGCGGATTTTTATTAAATAAATCTATTATTGCTTGCAAACTTAATGCAGAATCTGAATAAATATTTATAGTAAATTCTTGAATTGAGTTTAGCGAAAGAGCCAGTCTAACTCCTTTGCGTATTGCAATCAACTCAGCTTGGTAAACTGAATTTTTAATTGAAAGCCGTTTGTTCCCAATTGTATAACTGAGAAGCATTTTGAAACAGGCAGAGACCACTTCCTGTTCCTGAACACATTTGTGAACCATCTGTGTAAATTTGAAAAATCAGAATTTAAGGAATATGATGTTTTAATGAAGACGTTTTGTTGAAGATTGAATGAGACTAGATGAAAAACATCGTTAGATTGTTGAATTTCATAGTCTTCTGGGTGAAAGGAATGAAGGCTTTTGAAGTCGAAGTATATTGGCTATTGTTGCTTCTCGCTGTACCAGAAGTGGAAGTGGAGGAAAGCCAGTTAGAAGCTGAAAAGCAGCTGTTGAAGTAGTACGATAAGCTTTGCTAATTATTAACAGATGTGGCCGTTGTAAAGCATTAAGGCGTTTAATTGCACCCTTGGTAAGGTGTGTATCCCAGATGGAAGCTGCATATAAGATGATTCTTTGCGTTACTATTGAATACCATAATTTGAGAAACTTCGAGGGTGAGCCCCAAGAGAGTCCAGAAATCCTTTTCATTGAGTTTTGAAGCTTGAGAGTTTTCTCTCTTAAATATTGAATATGCGGAATCCAGGATAAGCGATTATTTATTTTGATACCCAAGTACAACAGATTTTCAACAAAAGTGATTTGATTGTCCATTGAGTTTTAATGTTGGATTTCTTTTTAGAGGACGTTGTCTTCCAATAAGTAGACCTCTGGTTTGGGTTGTTTAGATTCTTATTTTATGTTGGCGAGACCAATTTTGAAACTTGTCTAAATAGAATTGAGCTTTGGGTGTAATGTCATGGCGACCACCTATAACGATTAAAAAATCTTCTGCGTAGGCTATGATTCTTACATCTGGTAATCCCGTAAATTCCTCGAAAAAAGAATTAGCGACGAGGATCCACAGAAGAGGACCCAAGCACGACCCCTTTGGACATCCCTTTTGAACACGATGAGTAAAACCATTATCCATAGCAGTGATCTGTACAGAGCGATGAGAGAGATAACTTTTAATGATGTCTACAAAGAAAGGGCAATCCAGATCTTTCATTATGTCATAAACATCCGGCCACCAAAGTCTATCGAAGGTGCCTTGTATATCCAGTGATGTGATGAGTGAATGCTTATTATTTTGTCGATTTGTGGTTATTGTTGAGAGTAGATCGGATAAAGCATGCTCAGTAGATTTGTTTTCGGTAAAGCCATATTGGTGAGTGGAGAGAAGCTAGTGGTTTAAGCGTAGAAGTATTTTTTTTTTTTTTTTTTTTCCAGTAATATTCCAAATGCAGGAAGTAGACAGATGGGGCAATATGAGGAAGGAACTGAAGGATCCTTGTCTTTCTTGAGAAAGAGAATCATTTCTGCATTTTTGGTATTCAAAGGGAAATGACGTAGGCGCCAACAAGCATGGATGAAGGCCAAAATCAAAGAAGGAAAACTGTTAAAAAGGATTTTGATTAGTTGATTATCTAAACCGCCGGGCCCAGGAGCTTTACGAATATTTAAATATTTTATAATACTCTTGAGTTCATAAGTGGTGGAAAAAGGTGGAACTGCTGATTGAAGACCTGGTAAATGAGAATTGAAGTTATGACGTAATTGAGCTTGATGCGTAGAATCAGAATCTGAAGAGTCTTCTTCAAAGATCTCTTCTAGAAGATACTTTAGAATTTCTGAGTGAGTTGTAGCTGTAGGTAGTATGGAGGCTGGGATATTTGTGGATGAAAAACTTTGTCAGTGGCGATTTTATAAACTGTTCCATATTTGTCCATAACCGCTGAACAGTAATTTCTCCAAAAGTGTCTTTTTGCCTTCAATATTGAACGTTTAAAGAAGCCTGTGCTTTTTTGTATTCGATGAACAGTTCTGCTCGTTGCTCTGGGTGAATCTCTGAGCAGTGCGACGTTTAGCACGTAGCTGTGAACGTTGAAGTTGCAAGTCAGAAGTCCACCAAGAAACTTTAGTGAAAGGTTTGATTTTTTGTAATCTTATAACTGCGTTTACATGCTTCTGTTTAAGAAGCAAACAAATTGCGAGTGCGATCCAAGTCTTGAGAGATAGTTGAGGAATCAAAAGCCTGAATTAAGTCTGAAACTGTTGGAGATAGTAGCTTTATAAATTTTGTATGGTTGCCCGAGATAGTTTCGAAGCGGCATTTTGAGTTGAGAGAAATTGTTTTATTGAAAACAAAGGTTATTGGTTGATGATAGCTTAAATAGGGATATCTTCACTAACTTGCCAGTTTTGGAAAGAGTCGCGAAGAATTATTACACATAGTAATGTTAATCCAACTTTAAGCTCTTGAAGTTGAGAAAGTAGGCGGACTATCAGGGTTATTGAGCAGATGTAAATCAGAAGAATAAACAAAGTCTTGAATTATGATACCTCTAGAATTGTCTGGAGTAGGTCCCCAAAGAGTGCTATGTGCGTTAAAGTCACCTGCGATGATTTTGTGCGTTGGTAAAGAAACATTTGATATAAGGAAATCTAGGTCATGAATTTGAAGGTCAAGATCACAACTTGGGGCATTAATGGAACAAGCAGAAGTAAGATTAACGGTTCAACAGCGTGACTTTATGTTTTCCAAGGAACTGAAGAGAGTCTTCTCTTCATGCCGCTAGATGGCTGCGTATGCGCCATTGTTAATTCATCAATCTTCTCTTAGCGATTTCAGTCGCGCACTCGTCCTTATTTTTCTCACTGCCTCCAAACACGTTAGAATTTCCAGCTATCTCTAAGTAAACTCCCACAGTGTTTGCTTGCCTAAGAAGCATCACAGTCTGCGGTTTTAAATAGTTGTTCGTCCCAAACAAATGGGCCTATGAGAGCAACCTAAGGCACCTACAGAAGCTCAAAGTCATTGGAATTTTCTTAGACGATATCTTGCCAATTTGGCGAGATAACCATTTATTCAATATTAAATAGACTTGCCCTGTATTCATATTTTTCCGGCAGAGCATGTTTCTTTGGGTTTTCATGTAATATTATACAAAAGAATACAATTTCACATGTAGTTGCACTAAAATCATCTATCTATTCACAAAATTCTTAATAATATTGTTGGCGTTTAGGCTCAGGACATAACTGCATAAGTTACATAATTATTGCATTATTACAGATACTCAAAATACTTTACAGCAGAACATATTTTTTTAAATGGTACACATTACAAATACACTTTACGAACTTTACAGAATTTTACAAACTTACATTTTGTTATGTCCGATTACAGTACTAGTACAGAATGTCAAACATCTAGAAAGAAACTGAGTGAATATTAAATTCTTACTCTAGGCACTGTTTCTATTTAAAAAAAATATATATTAGAAAATTATATAACGGAGCATAGATTGGTGCTGTTTTGCAAGCTTGTTGATAATCTGGGTGATCCTTGCCTACCAGAAGACGTTTTTTTACTATGAACTTGCAGTAGGCTTCTTTATTGTTACTGAAGATTTTAAGGTCTAATAAATGGACAGATGATAAGATAATGACGTTTAAATGGGAAGAATGTAGATGTTAAGTGATATTTCTTTCCATATGCTGTTTTGGTGTAGCGGTCATAACTTCCAACTAGCATGTTAGAAGAATCTGTTTTCGAGGATATAGTTAATTTTTCAAGATTTCCTTTTCCAAAGAGCCTGATGATACTGTTAATTCGTGATATAAGAACTTCAAGCTAACAGAAAGCACAGCTTACTACTATGAACCATTAGGTTCGAGCGTATGCATTTGAAATGCTTGGCAGTACAGAAAATAAGTGGAATCAGCAGTTTTGGAGGAAGAAAATGTTCTGTTTTATTATGTTGATAACTTTTAGTGAAAGCTTCTATAAGTCTTCGTTTATCTGTTAGACCCATATCACATCTATCGACGAGCGCGGCTAGGCGGGGCGTTTCTGATTCTGGTAGCACTGGTTTAAACGCAAGTGTTCCGAGAAAAACCAGCACGACTGAAGGTCATGTTCCGTCTGGCCGAGGAAACGATGCTACGAGAGACATTTTGAAACTTTTTACCGAAAATATTCCGTTTGCAGCTATGTCCCGAGTAGAGATCAACCTGCTTTCCACCACTTGCTATTAGCTTCCGTAAGCAACAAACAAGTTTAAAATGAAAAGAGTGTGAGCGCTACAACACGGAATTTGTAACCAAACACCTGTTTCTCCAATCTGAGCGGTAATTGATTCCTGCTTGACTTTCAGGGCTGTTTACCAAGGGAAGATAATAACCCAGCTATGCAAGTTTCGTAAAAATGCAGGTTCTGAGAAATGTTTCTTTCGATGTTGTGTCCCGGCTAGCAATAGCAAACGTAATAGCGATTTAGTAAAACAGTGCCGCAATTAGATTAATAGCAAGTTTAGAAAATTTTCGCATTTTGTGTTTAGAAACATGTAAGTGATAAACTTACATCATAACAGCTGAAAGTGCTTTCATTTGTACTAATTCATCCTCATCGTTGCAAAGTTCAAGCAAGAGATTCAAGGCAGATAACTCTAATGCCTGGTTTCTTCCCTTCGCTTCTACCCTACGGTTACAAGAAAATTCGAGTAAATTAAACTATATAAGCGATATAAATTCATCATAATTAAGTGACCTGAATACGCAAATTTTGTAAGGTGGTTATGAGTACAAAAATCCATGTTGGGTGAAAAGGTTAATGATTAGAATATAAATAGCCTTTCTGAAATTTTTTTTCATTTAGAGATGTCTTAAAATTTTATATAAACCTTGTGTAATCTAACTGAAATTTGGATTTCATTGTAGGCACTTTTATATTTGAATCTCAAATGTTAATACTATTGACTCGTAATAACGAACTGTCTAGAGACCGACAAAAGACGACCGATATTAAATTGCGCTTGTTCTGAATGATACTCGAAAGTCGGAAAAAAATCATTTATGGATACGTAATGCCATTAAAATGTCTATATAATCGGGGAGCTAAATAATCATTTTAATTTATTAGAATTTTAATTATATCCAATATACTATCAAGTAATTAATAATTTTGTAAGGTAAGAAATGAATTCTCAAATATTTCTTCTCAATTTCATTTAACTTCTGAAAAGATAAAATGAATAGTTATATATGAGAAGAAGTCCAAGATTTTTATGAGTCTTTTGTGGTAATTCATATGGATCACGTCTTGGAAGCTAATTCGCCTTATTTTCTAAGTTGAATCATGGCCTGATGGTAGGGTACGAATTGCGCGAAATTTGATCGAAGATTCCCGTCCCCCCCTTATCTAATCCACGAACTGCGCGACGTTTCCTGTCCCCTCTTTCTTTCCCAAGAAGATTGGGTTCTACAAAAAGTCATTTATCGCCATTAATGGGACATTTTATTGAGACTGCAAGCTTTTATTTTCGTTTATCAATATTGTAAAAGTTGTGCATGCAAAACAAATATTAATTTAATGTCTGGCGTGTGCTGAAGTAAAAATAAATTTCTTTTACACTCATTTTAAAGTTTTATGATGCTTAAAGGAATGTTGAGCCAGATCTTTTTTATTCTGTGTAAGAATTAAAAACTTTCCAAGTTGTAGATTTTAGTCGCTGATATATATATATATATATATATATATATTCTTAGATAGCAGAATGGTTTTAACTTTCAAATTTACCATTTTAGGTAAACAGCTCTAATTTAATTAAAAAAATTCTCTTTATTAAATCTGAAAATTGGACTTTTTAAATCGTTATTATTGCAATATATTCCCGTATTAAGCTTTCCATTTTTAGCCATTGAAGTTATTTTAAGGTTATTTAATTTTCTTACAAATTCCATATTTTAATACTAGAAACATTTAAATATTTCTTCTGTTTTCCCCCTGATTCCACCTCGTACTTTCGCATACATTTAATTTCTAATACACATTTAATTAATAAATTGACAATTATGAGCGTCTGCAGAATTTTCATAATTAACAAAAAAAAAAAAAAAAAAAAAAAAAATTCAATTTCCCTTATATTCATATCCTGGGATTTTTAGTTCCCTTTTAATCCATTCCTTTTTCACATATTGTTGCATTGTACTCAAGTTTTTATGTATGTAGAATTTATATATTGTGCATTGTATTTATGTCACTTTATATTTAAACCATATCTTTTACAAATTCTTGCATCATAACTCTAGTTAATAGAAGATGTTTCTAACACCTTGGCAAAGCTTAATCTTCAGCATGTAGCTTATTTTCTAACCTAGTTTCAGGCTGAATTATTTGAATTTAAAACGTAAAAACATTTTATTATACCGTTTAAACATAATTTTATCATTTTTTTAATCTATTTTTTTAACCTTTCTAGCTTTCTATACACACTTTAATTTTAACTTATTTGTTCTAAATTCTCTTTAAAAAAAGTTTATTTTTCACGATCTTAGTTCTTTTATTTAATTTTATACAGAATTTCTAATTTCTTTCACATGTTTAACAATATCTTCCTTGCACTGCCAAATATTTTTTTTTTAAATTTAAGCATTTAAGTTGTATGACTATTGATTATTTTTCTTACGTTTATTATTTCCCTCCTTAGTTTATATTTCATAGTTCTAGTTTTAACTTCTTTATTCCGCTGCTTTTATTTCTATCTCACCATGCAGAAGTCTAACATTTTATTCAATTTTAGACATTAACACAATTTTTAACAATATGAATTGTTTTAATTTACTGTGTATTCAGCCATTTCCTTAGAATTTTTTAAATACTTGTTATATTCTCCGAACACAATTGATCATTTACATGATTTGATTTGAATTGGTTTTACTCCGAAATTTCCATTCACAAATTTAAAATTTACCTATCATTTGTATCTAAATGTAAGTATTTCTTTCTTATATATAATTTTAAGGTCCTCAAAAGTTTCTAACATCGTGTTTAGTTTTAAATCACGATTACCTTTAAGTCTATTCATAGTTTTCATTTCCAATTTTACAAATACATTTAGTATTTCATCCCCACATACCAAAATATTCCTTACATCCTCTGATATTTCTACGTCATATTTCAGTATTTCCAATGATTTTACACGACTCACACGATTATTTTTTTATATTTTAGATGCACTGCCTATGCTCATTTTACCTGTTTCCTGCACTAATTGCATCTATGTCCCCAATCATTGAAAACTTTTAAGGGAGACTAGCAATTTTTCTTGCATCACGTGAATAAAAAAATTCTTAAAACCAAATTTTTCAGTAACGCACCTAAATTACCATTTTTCAAATGCGAATTACCAGTGTTCTATGGTTTTACTCTGTTACATTTTAAAATATACTTATTACCGCCATCAACTGAAGAAATATGAAAACAATTAAGAAATAATTTCTTTGAAAGTTGAAGGTAAATTCGAATAGGAATTTGGATTATTGACTAGAACTGAAAGACTTTTATCAATGTGAAAAGATTCTAGAAAATTTATTTCGCCAACGGAAGATGCTTTTAAATAATTTTCCCTGCAGAAAAATGGGAAGTATGATCTTTCGACCAACAGTTTTACCAGCTTTATCGAGAACGGGGAACTCTTTATGAAACGAACAGTTTTTTACCATTATGTTCTTAAATAAAGACTTTTACTTAAATATCACCTTTTTGACCAGTATTGAGATAATTTCTAATTTCCTAATTCTAAATGCAGTATACTTAAATAGCAATAATTTTCAACTGCCAGGAGCAAATAGATTTTAATAAACTTGCAGTTCTGAAATCAATAGATTCTGCTATCTGTGACTAATAAAATTATTGGGCAGCGAAAAACTTCGACAGATTTCGACAGATGCCTCTGAAAAGTTGAACTATTTCACCAAGGAAAATCAGGTTTCCATGTCTTTTCTATTTAATGCTTTCGGTAGATTCTAATGTTAACAATAATGTACAGTCCTAAAATGGCGCCGGAAAGTGTTAGTCTATATCCTGTACCATCGACAAGGCTCAATTAAAACAGTCTTCGGTCTTAACCATAATGTCATTTAAGGCAGCATTGATCTAATGGCGTTGATATGCGGCTGACGCAGCTGAGTCGTCAATCAAACATCAGTTCTTGTTTTCTTCGCTGTGAATGGTCGGTTCTTCTACCATGCTCGCATAAAGTTGAACAGTTAGAACATTTAGACAAAATCATTATACCGAATTCCATGATGCAGCAAGGTCTGATTGTGAAATTCGGCTTATGCCACTTATTTCTAGCAAAAGCCTTCATACTAACGCTCCATCAAGCCTGCCCTCTAGCTTACGTTTTTGTTTTCATGACAATGGAAATTAGGTTAGTAGGCATTGTAGAATGATTTGTAAGTTCCTAAACTCGAGGTTCTAGGACTGGACCTTGTGCGCTTAATTTACAAGCGCACAAGTGCGCTCTTGGTTACTGATATAGAATTTTAACCCAAAGAATTTCATCTTTCATAAAAAATTGTAGGTAAGAGATTCGTATTTTCATCATCCGTAAACAGCTATAGATACAACAGACAGAAAATCTCGATACTGGCAAGGTTTAATGATCAGTTGTTATTACTTGTTGTGTGCTTAAAAGCTGAAAATTTAATCTTAATATTTTGAGAACATCATGCCTTTTTCTGCCGTATTAGGATGAACGAATGTACTATGTGATAAGCATAGTTGACAATTAACGGGAGAACCCCCATCAAGAGATTGGGTAATACTGTCTCGTGTCCTCGCATATCTCGCAGCAGAAGGAGTACCCAGTATTAATCGGTGCGATCTTTCTTCATCAAGATCAAGAAATCAACTCAGTTCAAGAATCAAATGAAATGGATCAACAAGCAACACCCCTTCACTAGTTAGAAAACGCATACTTTTCATTAATATTCTGAGATATGAATATTTCCTAATATGTCAATCATCTGATAGCATCTTGACTTTTCTAACCAGAATGATCTGAAAAGTGACCTGAAACTTTATCAGAATTAGATATGTCAGCAAGATTAATTACATGGGATAGTTTCATTATCTTAAGATGTTAATCATGTGATTATGAAAGTGAAAAACCTATCGGTCATAACTGAACAAATACACGCTATTATTTCGCTAAATATTCAAAAAATAATAAAACAGCATTAACAATATTATCAGACAGCACTATGTGCGAATAATTAAGATAGCTTATTTTGATTTGGTTGATTTTCTCAAATTTTGTCGACTAAATACTTTATACTAATTTTAAATATTTTAATTTTCCCATTATTGTGAAAAACATTGATTAATTTCAAAAAAATCTTTCCTCTTAGATCCATATGTTTATCTCTGTGAAACATTTAATTGTAGCACTTTTTGTGATATTAACAACTAAATATTACATTTCTTATTAAAACATGAAAATGAATCTCATTTCTCCTTCTAGGAAACACCAGTAAATTATTATATTAAAATCTTATTATCACATAAGATTACACACATTATCATATAATTATCATCATATCTTACATTATCATATAAGATCACATATGCAGACCATACAGGGCACGACACGAAGAAAATTCTTTTCGAATGTTTTTCAGCTCAAGGTAAGGTTA